CTTCTTCCTTGACATCGAGAACTCTCTCTGAAATTATTCTCATAACTCCGATGGCATCTCTGGTTCCTCTTCCTCTCCTGAATCCAAATTGGTCGTCTCCCATCACTTCCTCTATCTTCTTTTCTAGTCTTTTAGTCAGTATTCTCGTCATTATCTTCGCCGCATGTGAGATTAGACTGATGGTTCTGTAATCGCCGCACTTATTGGAATTCTTTTTCTTCTGTAATGGAACCATTGTCACTTCCGGAAAGTCCTTGGGCCTCTCACCGGAGGTGTATATCTTGTTAGCGAGTCTAGTAAGAACCTTCACTCCTTTCTCTCCAAGTTCTTTCAATAAGTCCGATGGGATTTCATCATATCCCATAGCTTTTTTTTTCTCATATCCTTTATGGCCCTCTCTACCTCGCTGCTCAATATCTCTGGACTTTTGTCGACCTCCTCTACTTCTTCTTCTGGCTCCAATTCCATCTCCTTCTCATCCAGTCGATTGGCCTTGTCATAGAGCTCTTCAATATAATTTTCCCACACAGCTTTAACTTCATTCTGGTCACTGACTATCTTTCCTGATGGGTCTTCTATTTCCTGTGTTCGAATTCCTTTGTTCTCTTTCCATCCTAGTTCTTTCGCCTTTGCATACATCAAATCGTATCTTCCAATTCTCTGGAGTGTCATTATCTCATCACATACTTCGTTGATGTAATCTTCTCTCGCCTTGTCTCTTTCTCTTCTCAGTTCGTTGTTCAGTCTTCGATATTTCTGTCTTCCCTCTTCACTGTTGATATTCTTCCATCTCCTCCTCTCATCCATCTTATCGAGCATAGCCTGTGTAATCCATGCCTTCCTTGGTATCCTCTTCATCCTACCAACCTTTTCTTCTAATGCCACTGTTAGTTACTTCTTGATATTTGTCCATTCCTCTTCAACGCTTTCGCCTTCACTTTCACTTAATTTTCCTTCCAATTCTGCTCTTACTTCGTCTCGCGCGCTCTTCAGGTTCTCCAGGTCCCATCTCATCTTCCTCACCCCCCTACTCCTGATTTTTTTCATTCTGGTGCTGACGTTTGCAACTAACATATTATGATCTGAGTCGATGTCCGCTGATGGCACTGTTGTCACATCCTTTTTTTTTAGGTATAATAATCGCTACATAAATAAGATCATGACTACTCCGTAACACCACTTTCTTAAATTAAAGATTTTAACTCAATATTTTGCCATTATTTAATCGAACATAATTTTTACCTTGGTCAAAAACACTGAAATGAAAGAAACACTTTCGTGCATGGAGCAGGTGCAATGACTAACGTAGTACTCATTAACGTACTGACCATATACAGTCGAAATATGTAATTTGGTAACAAAATAAACGCTTGTAAAACACTGTGAATAAATTTGTGCAGAAAGTGACCCCAAAAAGTGTAAAGAGTTTGGTAAGAACATTGATTAAAAACATGAGTATTTTTATTCGTAAGTTACTTCACGAATAACAAACGTGGCAGAAGTGCAATTATCTGATACTGTGTCTGAGAATTACTTGGCAATGAACAATAACTCACTATGCTCCACAATTATTAATTTGAAATTTGTGCTTGCCTCTAAAGTAACACAAGTTCTAAGTACGAGTGTTTTTTTGGCTGGTTTTATCCGCCAATAATAGCAGAATCATTTATTGAAATTCGTAACTACGTGACAAACATTTAATAAAGTTTTGTTGAAATCAACCATCCTTCTTAGAACTAAGTTTGATTTCATGCAATAAAATGGTAGAAAATGAATACACATTGTCAAGAAGGCAACAGAAGAAAAATTTAATTATTTTGAGGTGATTTTTATAGACATTTTTATTTCAGTAATACTTAGTTTACTACAGAACATCAGTCGATAAAATTATAGGAATTCATCTCTATCAGTGTAAGGGATCTACCTGAAAGTAATCTCACGTGCTTGGCTGTCACAGGGTTCGTAACTTTGCCACGAGAGGCGTGTTCCTTCAAAGTATAGTCTCCAGACATATGATGTCGAACGGAACAAGAACCGAAATTGACCTGGGCGAAAGCCTCAGATATTGAGATATTGACTTGTAAACCTGCCTCCAGTTTTCGTTCATAATTCATTCATCTGTGTTCCTGTAACATAAAATTTATTCATTGCGACATTTAAGCAGAGGAGACCTTCCACTTCTATAAGACATGGTGAGGTATTTAAGAGCACGACTAGTTTGTTTGACACTGAACCATACTGGAAGCGATCAACAGTGTTCTAAATGTCTCTATAGTTTGAGTTGTAAAAAAAAGATAAGTCACGCAGCGTCTTACTTAGGCATTATAATATTGCTCCGTTTTACGGCAGACTCACTCCTGAGCAGGTTTACTTCTCGAGCACGCCTGTCAGGTCAACAGAGTCGGATGCTCTTCCTACGGCCAGTGCGGATCCTGTGCCTTGAGGCGGCTCAGATTCCCACTGATTATGGTTTTTGACAACTGTTATTTTGATATATTTTATCAAAATGTCAGGGGTCTAAGAACCAAATGCAGTCAATTCATTGACAATGTTTTCGCTAGCATGTCCGGAATTTACTGTGTTACGGAAACTTGACTTAATGACTCTATATTAAATTATAATATTTTCCTGAATCGTATTTCGTGTTTCGTGCCGATAGAGATTACTTAAGCTCCGATTAAAAAAAAACGGGGAGGCGGAGTGCTGGCTGCAGTTTCAAAATCTTTCCGTGGCGTTAAACGAAAGTATGATCTGGAAACGATTGAAGAGTGTGTGTGTGTTGAAATTCCTGTTAGAGACAAAAATAGTCTTCTTATCGGGAATCATTACTTTGCTCCGGATTGTGATATAAAAATAATTGAAAATTATCTAAACTCTTTAAAAGTAAATCTAAAGTCGCAACTCTATCGGGTGGTCATGTTAGGAGATTTTAATGTCCCCAATTAAGATTACCTAAACGGCATCCCTTATTCTAATTCTTACTACTGTAATAAAATTAAAGGAAATTCTCTTTACGAAAACCTCGTACTTTATTTGCCTAAATCAGCACAACTGCGTTCCTAAAAATGCTCTGCTCGACCTTGTCTTTACAAACATCAATGATCTCAGCGTTTCTCTTTCTACTCACACTCTGATCCATCCTGACCTCTATCATCCGCCTTTTTCTTTATTATTAAATTAATTCTTGACTGTCAATATACTTCGATTACACCTCGACACAATTACGGTAAAGGAGACTATTTATTACTTTACCATACCTTAGAAAACTCGGAATTGTCTTGCGTTCTTAATGAAAACTGTTGATGCTGCGGTTAATAATCTCACGCCAACTGTGTCGAAGGTTATCAACCTAGGTATTCCCTTTGTAAAACACAAAATTTATACCTAACTTTTGTTTTTCCAAAACTCTTGTCTATTACATTAGAAAGAAAAATGCGTTACTAAGAAATCTAAACGTCTAAGTTGATTATCATTATAGCGTTTTTAATATTATCGTAAACTTGTTAAAATTACTATTATATCAGATAGATTAGCAATTGAAGATAATTTGAGAACACAACCAAAGCACTATTGGAAATATATTTTCAAATTTAAAAAGAAAGATCAGACTATTACACAAATTAAAGCTAGAGAGAGATTTGTCACGGAACAGCAGTCTATCGCAGAGACCTTTGCAGACCGCTTTCGTTCTGTTTTTAACTACTCTTACGACTAGTTCTGACTTTTCATATTCTAATATTTTGGATATTCCACGTAACCCTGCTGATGATGATGTTACGCGGGCAATTAATCGTCTCCGTTCGACGAAATTCGTCGGACCCGATGAAATCCCGACTTTCATTATAAGAGATTGCACTGAGATATTAACCCCTCTTTTATGTCATATTTTCAACCTTAGATTACTCGGTCGGAATTTTCCTTTGTTATGGGAGCAAGCGGCTGTTGTACCGATTTTTAAGAAATGCAACAGCGCCTTAATTTCTAACTACAGGCCTATTTCGATCTTAAATGACTTCTCCAAATTTTTTGAAGGTACTCTTCATGATCACCTTTCCTTTTATTTGAAATTCAAATTACACCTCGGTCAGCATGGGTTTTTTAAATCAAAATCTACGGTAACTAATTCAGGTACCTACCAAAATGATATTCAGCTGTCTGTTTGTTCATAGGGACAGATCGACGCTGTGTATTTTGGTCTTAGGCAGGCCTCTGATTCAGTCCCGCATTCTATTTTTTTGAAAAAGCTTAATAATTTTGGACTATCTTATCCTTATGTCAAGTGGTTCCAAATTTATTTATCATCCAGATCTGCCTTTGTTCTTATTTTAGGAGAGTCTTTTTCCTTTTACTTGGTGTTGTCTGAGTTCCACTAGGCTCTACCTTGGGACCTCCCTTAATTAATATTTTTATTAACGACCTTTGGGACAAAATTAATTATTCTAAATTTCTCTTATTTGCTGATGACTTGAAACTATATCGTAATATTAAATCTGTGAATGACTGCGAATCTCTTCCTGGAGATATTGATTTCGTACATCAGTGGTGTGATGATAACAAGATGGAACGTATCATAGAGAAAACCAAAACTCTATCGTTCACTCGTAAAACCAACAGAATCCATTTTAATAACATTGTTAGTGACTTTTTAATCTTGCGTACTAATTGTGTAAATTATCTTGGTGTTTTGTTAGACAATAAACTATATTTGAACTGTCATGTAAATTGTGTTCATTCTCAGTTACTAAGGACCTTAGGGCTTATTCGTATTATTACTTATGCTTTTTCCTCTCTAGACAAACTTGTTGTTTTATATAATGCTTTAATTAGGTCAAAGCTAGCTGTCTCGGTCGTATGGAATAATCTTATACAGACAGATTCTCATAAATTATAAAATATACAAAGAAAATTTGCCAGTTTGTGCAATTACCGATTTTTCAGTTAAAAATAACACGCAAAAATGAATTGATATTATCTTCTTGAAATCTAAGAACACTCTATTCTAGATGGCGATATCTCGATGCGTTATTTCTTGTTAATGTCTTTAGGAGCAAAATAAATTCCATTCCATTACGGACACTTTGGTTTACGTGTGCCGGCGAGGCAAATAAGAGAATTTTCTACTTTTAGTGTGATCAGTACCCGTGCAGTACCCATATAATTTTATGGTGTTATTTTGTTTCATTACTTTTAATGAATTATTTCAAACGTTATGCTGTTCAATTTTATAATTGTTTCAAACACTATGTTCCTCTTGAAGATGACCTTTCAAAGGACCGAAACAAGTAGCTTGGTTATCTGTTTCTTGTATTTCTTAACGTTTTACATTTATATTAGTGTTCCCTACGTGGATTGTTTGGTTTTATTTATATTTCTTCGTTTATTTTCTTTGTATATAATTTTGTTTTTATTTTGAGTTTGCCTGTACGATGCGATCGGAAAGTTTCAAGACTGCGCCTATAAAAACCCGTACACTTATCTCAGGTATTAAATTCATCCATCACCCTCGAAGTAGTTCCCCTGGGAGTGAACACAACGATCCCAGCGCCGCTGCCAAGTCTGGAAGCATCCCTGGAAATCTTTCTTTGTCAGCCTGTCAAGCACCATCTGCGATTCTGCCTGAAGCTCTTCTATCGTCTCAAATCTCCTTATAAAAACCCGTGCACTTATCTCAGGTATTAAATTCATCCATCACCCTCGAAGTAGTTCCCCTGGGAGTGAACACAACGATCCCAGCGCCGCTGCCAAGCCTGGAAGCATCCCTGGAAATCTTTCTTTGTCAGCCTGTCAAGCACCATCTGCGATTCTGCCTGAATCTCTTCTATCGTCTCAAATCTCCTTCCCTTTAGCTGAATTTTCATCTTTGGGAAGAGGAAGAAGTCACACGGCGAATAAGGAGGGGGCGGGATGACGGCCATTGTGTTTGAGGCCAAAAACTGCCGAACTTTGAGGGCGGTGTGCGCTGGCGCGTTGTCTTGATGCGTCGCATGTGGAGTTCTTCCTTTAGAATCAGCTGACAGGTCCCAACAATGTCGCACAAGTCGTTGATGGTACGACGTCGATCTTTGTGAATGGCCTACCGAATCTTCGTACCATTTTCGGGCGTTGTGCTCGAAGATGGTCGTCCAGAATGCTCGTCATCATCGACAGGGGTTCGGCCATTTTTAAAACGTGAATGCCACACAAACGTTTGTGCACGACCCATTGCGGACTCCCCAAATGCTTGCTTTAGCATTTCATAGGTTTCCGTAGCCGTTTTGGCGAGTCTTTGGCAAAATTTGATGCACACTCTTTGTTCATGAAAATCCGCCATTCCGAAATCGCAGGAGGGTCGGTGTAATGCACTACCAAAACGCCCGTAACTAAGAAACAAATGCTAATTCGATGGTGCCGGCTGGCACTCTGATTCACTTTGAATGTAGATCGCAGCCCCTAGCGGCAGAAGCTCGTACTACATCCGGTTCGCTCTCTATTGACACAGTCTAGAAACTTTCCGATCGCACCTCGTATTTGGCTATTATATTTAATACTGTACTTGTATATGTTAAGTTAACCTGTTTGTGTAATATATTATTACGTCATTATTATTGTACGTATTACCAGTGTTTGCCTCTTATTGGATTCTTGTTATTGCCAAACATTTAAATATTTGAATTGAATTGAAATTCGAAACTTTGGTCTGAATTATATAACATGGAATAATATTTATTTTTATTTGTTTGTTTATTTGTTTGTACAGTAAACAGACCTATATTTTATATGAGTTTCCACATTCGAACAAATATTGCCTACGTCACAAAGGATTATGGCAATGGTTATTGTTCTTTCTCGGCTCTACAACCCAGTTGTGGGTTTTCGCCGCCTCCTATTCGGAGGTTCCCTAGTCTTTGATGTGTGCATTTATGAGTAGTGAGTGACAAGCCTCTACACAATTTCTACTCAATCCTGATTTTGACTGCCAGAGCCTTCCAGCAGTAAATCAGGAGACTTAGATGAGAAATGGCCTCTGAATTTTGCTTACGTAATCATGCTCGTAAGGTTCTTTACATGCCGTAATCTACGACACGTGAAGGAAGTTGTGCTACGGATATTTATCGCCCTTAAAAATCTATCGCCCCTTACCA